AGCAGGCGTGAGCCACTGCACCTGGGCCAAAACCAGTATTTAATAAATATTTTAGAGGTGGTACTTTGAGGCTATGCAGATACCCTATTTCCCCTTTTAAGGTTTCATCAACTAATGTGAGCTTCCATGGGTGGATCTTCCTATAGAAATTATTACTATGGTATGTTAATGGTGATTTTCTATTTCACTCATTCTTTCTACATTTATTAATTAATTCTGTAAGAAAAAACTATTTTTCCCTTATCCAGGATCCATTTAAACATTATTCATTGTATTTGGTTATCAGTGTTTTTTATGTCCTTTTTTTTTTGGTGGGGGGACGGGGAGGGCAGTGTCTTGCTCTGTCACCCTGGCTGGAGTACTGTAGTGCAATCTCAGCTCACTGCAATGTCCACCTCCTGAGTTCAAGTGATTCTTGTGCCTCCCGCTCCCAGGGAGCTGGGATTACAGGCGTGCACCACCATGCCTGGCTAATTTTTGTATTTTTAGTAGAGATGAGGTTTCACCATGTTGGCCAGGCTGGTCTCTAACTCCTGGTCTCAAGTGAACCGCCTATCTCAGCCTCCCAAAGTGCTAGGATTTCAGGCTTGAACCACTGTGCCCAACTTTCTGTTTCTTTTACTTATTTGTATCTTAGAAATGAGGTCTTGCTGTGTTGCTCAGGCTGGATTCAAACTTCTGGGTTCAAGGGATCCACCCACCTCAGCCTCTCAAGTAGCTGGGACTGCGGGCTTGTGCCACCGCTCCCTTTTATTCAAGAACAGTCATCTGTTGTGTTTGTTTTAGGACAATAATTTTTTGAAGAGACTGAGTTGTCTTATAAAATGTCCCACATCTGGATTTGTGGAATTGTTTTATATGCCCGATATCCTATAAACTTAAATCTAATTTTCAGCTTGGTTAGATTTAGGTTAGACTTTTTTATGTAAATATTTTATAGGTGATACTGTGTAATTCGTATTACATATATGCAGTGTCTCATTAGTTGTTGCCCATCTATAAAATAATTGAAAATTTTATCACTGGGTTATAGTGGTAACAGCCAAAGCTCTCATTTTTGAGGTAAGGTTTTCCCTTTGCAATGAATTAAGTAATCTATGTGATAACTCTGACACCTTGTGACTATTTCCACACCAACCATTCACGTAGTAATTTAAGCATAGATTAAAGATCCTTCCCTGAATCAGTTGTTTCACTAGGGTTTACACATTGTTAATTTAATACTATCTTTCTACATTTATTAACTAGCATTCTTTTGTAGAGGAGAACTTTTCTAAACTAGAGCTATTAGATTACACTATTTAGGAGTTCCTACTTAATAGGATAAATACTTAATTCTGTCTCTTTTTCAGAATAGAGACTTGGTGCAGTAATAATTCCCAATACTGGTAAATTGCTGTTGGGTAAATGTTGCTGTTACTTTCTCTTTTGAGTACCATTATTTTACCTGATCTTTAAATGTCATTTGTTATTGACTCAGCATTTCTTCCTTTGCCATCTTAACCTTTTCCGAAGGCTTCATGTTAAGTACTCAGTATGTGTTTGTTGAATGGTAGATGGAAAGAAGAAACTGAATCCGCACTTTTTGAGCATGTATGAATATTTATTTTTCTGAGGAGAAAGTCCGTACCTTGTATCAAATTTTCTGAAGGGTACCTGAGAGACAAATGAGAAACTAACGTTTTGGGGAGACTGCATTCTCTGATTCCAGAACTGGTAAACCTCTAACTCTGTAACATGACTAGAGGTAAACTCATCTCAAAATCTCATTTTAAAAACTTATTTATAAACCCTTTATTGGCCGGGCACGGTGGCTCATGCCTGTAATCTCAACACTTTGGGAGGCCGAGGCAGGCGGATCACGAGGTCAGGAGATCAAGACCTTACTGGCTAACATGGTGAAACCCCATCTCTACTAAAAATACAAAAAATTAGCCGGGCATGGTGGCGGGTGCCTATAGTCCCAGCTACTCAGGAGGCTGAGGCAGGAGAATGGTGTGAACCTACAAGGCAGAGCTTGCAGTGAGCTGAGATCGTGCCACCGCACTCCAGCGTGGGTGACAGAGCGAGACTCCATCTCAAAAAAAAAAAAAAACCCTTTATTTTATTTTTAGAGATAGAGTCTTGCTCTGTCACCTGGTGCAGTGGCATCATCATAGCTCATTGCAGCCTCTTAACTCCTGGGTTCAAGTGATCTTCCCACCTCAGTGTCTGAAGTAGCTGGGACCATGCCATGGGACATAGTGCCACCATGTCTGGCTAATTTTTTATCGTTATTTTTATTTTTTGTAGAGACGGGGGTGTCACTGTATTGACTGGGCTGATCTTGAACTCCTGGACTAAAGTGATCTTCCCACCTTAGCCTCCAAAAGTGCTGGGATTACAGGTGTGAGCCACTACCCCTAGCCTAAGCCCTTTAAATGAAGATCATCACAGTCTTCGGCCTTGTAATGCACTATTTATATTTTTATTGATTACCAACTCATAATCTGTGATCTTTCTACTCCCTTTCACCCCTCTTCTACTGATCAGTAATGTTAAATGGAAGGTTTCTCATCCCACTGTGAGCATTCAAAACAACTGATAATTTACCTATAACTTTTTAAAAATGTGTTCATTGCATAACCAAAGTCTACCTAAATTGAACAAATAAGGGAAATAATGTTAATTTAAAAATTGGGGGTGCCAGCCTAGCCTGACCAATATGGTGAAACCCCATCTCTACCAAAAATATAAAAAAATTAGCTGGGCGTGGTGGCAGGTGCCTGTAGTCCCAGCTACTTGGGTGGCTGAGGCAGGAGAATCACTTGAACCTGGGAGGCGGAGGTTGCAGTGATCAGAGATCACGCCACTGCCCTCCAGCCTGGGCAACAGAGCGAGACTTTGTTCAAAAAAAAAAAAAATGGGAGAACGTCAGTGTTCTTAGTAATATTAATACCATAGAAGTAGAAATAATTGCAGTGCTTCTTAGGTTTGATTGTATAAATTTTTTTTCTTTTTTTTTTTTTTTTGAGACGATATCTCGCTCTGTTGCCCAGGCTGGAGGGCAGTGGCACCATCTTGGCTCACCGCAAGCTCTGCCTCCTGGGTTCATACCACTCTCCTGCCTCAGCCTCCCAAATAGGTGGGACTACAGGCGCCCACCACCACTCCCGGCTAATTTTTTGTATTTTTACAGAGATGGGGTTTCACCGTGTTAGCCAGGATGGTCTCGATCTCCTGACCTCGTGATCTGCCCGCCTCAGCCTCCCACAGTGCTGGGATTACAGGCGTGAGCCACCGTAGCCAGCCTTCTTTTTTCTTTTTTAAGACAGTCTTGCTTCGTTACCCAGGCTGGAGTGCAGTGGCATGATCCAGGCTTGTTGCAACCTCCCCCTCCTGGGTTCCAGCAGTTCTCATGCCTCAGCCACCCCCAAGTAGCTGGGATTACAGGCGGGCACCACCATGCCTAGCTAATTTTTGTGTTTTTAGTAGAGAAGGGGTTTCACCATGTTGGCCAGGCTGGTCTCAAACTCCTGGCCTCAAGTGATCCACCTGTGTCAGCCTCCCAAAGTGCTGGGATTACAGGCGTGAGCCACTGCGCCCAGCCATTATTGTATAAGATATTTTATATAACTAATGATGATTCATTTGAGTGTTTTTAAAGTTTATCTTCCTAAGGTAAGCCTGGAAACTTAGAAACAAGCAATAGGTTTAATTTGCAAAACCATGACTAAAACAGACATGCACATACTAGCTTCCCCTTCACTAGCAAGGTGTAACATATTTCTTTTCTTTTTTTTTTTGAAACATAGTCTCACTCTGTTGCCCAGGCTGGTGTACAGTGGTGCAACCTCCGCTCACCCAGCCTCCGCCTCCTGGGTTCAAGTGATTCTCCTGCCTCAGCTTCCCAAGTAGCTGGGACTACAGGCATCCGCCACCATGCCCGGCTAATTTTTTTTTCGTGTTTTAGTAGAGACGGGGTTTCACCGTGTCAGCCAGGGTGGTCTCGATCTCCTGACCTCGTGATCCGCCCGTCTCGGCCTCCCAAAGTGCTGGGATTACAGGCTTGAGCCACTGCGCCCGGCCTCAAAGAGATTTTTAAGTGTTGGCAAACTTTTAAAAGTCACTCCCAAATATTATAGTATAAGGCAAAGATCTGCCTATTTCTCAAGTTTAATTTTTAATAAACAGCTTTAGAAACTGGTGGAGAATAAGCAAATTTAAAATGGTAAATCGAGGGCTGGATACAATGCCTTATGCCTGTAATCTTTAAGATTACACTTTGGGAGGCCGAGGCAGGCAGATCACTCGAACCCAGGAGTTTGAGACCAGCTCAGCAACATGGTGAAACCCCTTCTTTACAGAAAATGTAAAAAAATTAGCCAGATATGATGGCACACGCCTGTGGTCCCAGCTACTTGGGTGGCTGAGGTGGGAGAATCCCTTGAGCCCAGGAGGTGGAAGTTGTAGTGAGCTGAGATTGCTCCGCTACACTCCAGTCTGGGCAACCCAGCAAGACCTTGTCTCAAAAAAAAAATAGATAAATTGAGGTAAATTGAGCTGGATGTGGTGGTTCCTGTAGTCCATTACTCAGGAGGCCGAGGCAGGAGGTTTGCTTGAGGCCAGGAGTTTGAGAGCAGCCTGAGCAATATAGCCAGACCATTTCTCTTAAAAAAAAAAAAAAAAAAAAAGCCAAGTGCAGTGGCTCACACCTGTAATCCCAGCACTTTGGGAGGCTGAAGTGGGTGGATCACCTGAGGTCAGGAGTTGGAGACCAGCCTGACCAACATGGAGAAACCCTGTCTCTACTAAAAATATAAAATTAGCTGAGTGTGGTCGCGCATGCCTGTAATCCCAGCTACTCGGGGAGGCTGAGGCAGGAGAATCACTTGAACCCTGGAGGTGGAGGTTGCGGTGAGCCGAGATCGAGATCGCGCCGCTGCACTCTGTCCTGGGCAACAAGAGCGAAACTCCATCTCAAAAAAAAAAAAGGTCAATTGTTTTTCTTTGTGTTTCAGATACGTCGGTAACCTTTCCAGAGATGTGACAGAAGCTCTAATTCTGCAACTCTTTAGCCAGATTGGACCTTGTAAAAACTGCAAAATGATTATGGATGTAAGGGTATTTTACTTAGTTAACTTTATTCTTTTTTTTTTATTTTTAAGATGTTACTTAAAGCAATTGCTTGGAAGGAATTCTTAATTTACCATAGTCTAAATATAGTATAAATTCTTAGTTTACTGTAGTCTAAATATAGTCTTAGTTTACTATATTCTAAATTAATAGGGATTTGGATTTTAGTGAATTTGTAATGAACTTGTTTTGACAGCTGAATTTAATTTGTTTTACTAAATAATGGAAGATGAGAATAGAACTAGTTATTTGTAGATCAGATGGGAACTCTAAAAATGTGGGCTCTTTCAGGTGCATTGAGGCATCAGAAATATTTATATGTGGTGTCAATTGGTTGGCAATAAATTCAGCTCTTACAATTAAATTGGGAAACAGGTTTAAAAATAATAGGCATTTGATACAGTGAAAGTATTTTTAACTTTATTTTTAAAGGTCATGATTCAAGTTTTTCTTGTATTTAGGCAATTCTTATTTATGAGACCTTAATGTATTAAAAAAACACACACATTGAACTCATTCATCCAATTGGTGTTAACCCTGATTCATAATATGTATAAAAAGACATTTAGGGAACAGTTACCCTATTTCCCTGGAGTCTTTGTCTCCTGGGGAGGAAAAATACTTTTTTTTTTTTTTTTTTTTGAGACGGAGTTTTGCTCTTGTTGCCCAGGCTGGAGTGCAATGGCATGATCTTGGCTCACTACAACCTCTACCTCCCAGGTTCAAGCAATTCTTCTGTCTCAGCCTCCCAAGTAGCTCGGATTACAGGCATGTGCCGCCACACCTGGCTAATTTTGTATTTTTAGTAGAGATGGGTTTCTCCATGTTGGTCAGGCTGGTCTCAAACTCCCGACTTCAGGTGATCCACCTGTCTTGGCCTCCCAAAGTGCTGGGATTACAGGCATGAGCCACCGCACCCGGCCTAAATTTTTTAATGGGAAAGGCAATGTTAAAGAGAAATCCTTTTGTCCCATGGTCTCTCCTTTCTGTAAACTTTTGGGTTTTTTGTTCGTTTGTTTGTCTTGAAAGACAGGGTCTTGGTAATAGCCACTGCACCCAGCCTGCTATAAACTTTCAGTTTTCTTTTCTCCAGAAAAGACAATGTATATGTGTATCTGTTACCTTCTTTCCTGTTGTATTCCAGCTAAACTTTTTTTTACTTGGTATTTTTAAAAGTAATTATTTAGCCGGGTACAGTGGCTCACACCTGAGACCACATCTCTAAAAAAAAAAATTAAGTGAAAAGTATTAATTGTACTTGAAATAAAATTGTATATTCCTCTATTTTGGTAGCTTTCTAGTCTTTTGAATTAGTTTTTTATTTTAACAAATCTGTTTAGGAGGTTATGGAAAGAATTTTTAAATGGCCTATAATGTCATTTGGTATTTTGCACTATAGATTTAAAAATTGGAATTTTTTTCTGCTACTTTAATTTATAATTAAACATCCAGGTTCTACTTATCACATAGCCTCACCTACCTGGAACACCAGCAGAAAAGGGAAGATACTTTTTTTCTTTCTTTTTGAGATGAAATCTCGCTGTGTGCCCAGACTGGAATCCAGTGGCACAATCTCGGCTCACTGCAACGTCCACCTCCTGGGTTCAAGTGAATCTCCTGCCTTAGCCTCCTGAGTAGCTGGGATTACAAGTGCACGCCACCACACCCAGCTAATTTTTGTATTTTTAGTAGAGGTGAGGTTTCACCATTTTGGCCAGGCTGGTCTTGAACTCCTGACCTCAGGTGATCCGCCTGCCTCATCCTCCCAAAGTGCTGAGGTTACAGGCATGACCTACTGTGCCTGACAAAGGGAAGTTTTTTTTTTTTTAGACGGAGTTTCACTCTTGTTGCCCAGGCTAGAGTGCAGTGGCGCCATCTTGGCTCACTGCAGCCTCCAACTCCTGGGTTCAAGCGATTCTCCTGCCTCAGCCTCCCGAGTAGCTGGGATTACAGGCATGCACCACCACGCCCGGCTAATTTTGTATTTTTAGTAGAGACAGGGTTTCTCCATGTTGGTCACGCTGGTCTTGAACTCCTGGACCTCAGGTGATCCACCCACCTTGGCCTCCCAAAGTGCTGGGATCACAGGTGTCAGCCATCACGCCTGGCCAGGAAGATAATTTTTTAAAGACTTCTGAACAAGGAAAAAATTGATGTCAGAAAGTTCACGTTCTAAAACCTATTCTAAAATTTTACTTACCAGAGAATCTCTTCAGTTTTCAGAGCCTATTTACCTGTATTTTAAAACAGGTTTAAGAAGGTTGGCTAAGATTTTCTGCTACTCAGCAAGCTAGTAGCAGCAAGGAGCTATGTGCATTTGTAGCAGTAAAAAGTAACATGTAACAGGGAGGCGATAGAAAATCATAAAAAGCCGAAGTGAGACTTCAGAACCTAGGAGTTCAGTCAAACTTCATCTGTGTAGCTTGAACAAATGGTTTTATGATGACAGGGTATTTATAGCTATATATCCAGTTAGGATACCTAGTCATTAATACTAAATTATAGTACTATAGTATAACCTGTTGAAGAAAATAGCTACATATAAAAGCAGTGTGATTTTAAGTGTTTGCTTTTTTTTTTTTTTTTACTTTTTGATTCTTTTAGAGACAGGATCTTGCTGTGTTGCCCAGGCTGGATTCAAACTCCTGGGCTCAAGCATTCCTCCCACCTCAGCCTCCTAAAGTAGCTGTGACTACAGGAGCTCTCCACCAGGCCTAGCTGTTTACTGTTTGTTTTGTTTTGTTTTGTTTTGTTTTGTTTTGTTTTTTTGAGATGGAGTCTTGCTCTGTTGCCCAGGCTGGAGTGCAATGGCGTGGTCTCCGCTCACTGCAACCTCCACCTCCTGGGTTCAAGCAATTCTCCTGCCTCAGCCTCCCAAGTAGGTAGGATTACAGAAGCCTGCCACCACGCCTGGCTAATTTTTGTATTTTTTTTTGATAGAGATGGGGTTTCACCATGTTGGCCAGGGTGGTCTCAAACTGCTGACCTCATGATCTGCCTGCCTTGGCCTCCCAAAGTGCTAGGATTATAGGCGTGAGCCACCTCACCTGGCCTACTTTTTTAAATCTAAAATGTACTTGCGGAATGGACCATTCATTCTCCATGGCCTGATAACTTAGATGTATAAAACTTGGTTTAAGATTTTTTTTTTTTTTTAACATAATTTTAAGGTAATGGGTGAATAAAGCTTAAAATTGGCTTTTGTGTTTCTTCTCCCACAGACAGCTGGAAATGATCCCTATTGTTTTGTGGAGTTTCATGAGCATCGTCATGCAGCCGCAGCATTAGCTGCTATGAATGGACGGAAGATAATGGGTAAGGTAAGCTGTCGTAATTAAAGAAGGTGACTTGCACTGACAAAATTTAAGTTACATATGATTTTGTTTACTTTTTGGAAACATTAAACACCTTTTTTTTTTTTTTTTTTGAAACAGAAGTTTGCCCTTGTTGCCCAATCTGGAGTGCAGTGGCACAATCTCAGCTCACTGCAACCTCTGCCTCCCAGGTTCAAGTGATTCTCCTGCCTCAGCCTCCCTAGTAGTTGAGATTACAGGCGCGCACCAACACACCTGGCTAATTTTTTGTATTTTTAGTAAAAGCGGGGTTTCACCTTGTTAGCCAGACTGGTCTCAAACTGGTCTCAAACTGCTCACCTCAGGTGATCTGCCTGCTTTGGCCTCCCAAAGTATTGGGATTACAGGTGTGAGCCACCGCGCCTGGCTGAAACATTAAACACTTTATAGCAAAAGGTCAGTTATTCACATATAATATTAAAAAGGTGAGATAAAGCTTTTAGAGGCCAGAGGCCTGTGTTTATGTTAGTATTTTCTTTTTTTTCTTTTTTTTTTTTTTTTTTGAGGCAGAGTCTCACTCTGTTGCCCAGGCTGGAGTGCAGTGGCACCATTTCGGCTCACTGCAAGCTCTGCCTCCTGGGTTCACGCCATTCTGCTTTGGCCTCCCGAATAGCTGGGACTACAGGCACCTGCCACCACGCCCGGCTAATTTTTTGTATTTTTAGTAGAGACGGGGTTTCATCTTGTTGGCCAAGATGGTCTTAATCGCCTGACCGCATGATCTGCCTGTCTCGGCCTCACGGTGGCGTAAGCTACTGTGCCTGGCTTTTTTTTGAGATAGAATCTGGCTCTGTCACCCAGGCTGGAGTGCAGTGGCACAATCTTGGCTCACTGTAACCTCCGCCTCCTGGGTTCAAGCAGTTCTTCTGCTTTAGCCTCCTCCTGGATAGCTGGGATTACAGGCACCCACCATCACGCCCAGCTAATTTTTGTATTTTTGTAGAGATAGGGTTTCACTATGATGACCAGGTTGGTCTTGAACTCCTTACCTCAGGTGATCCACCTGTCTTGGCCTCCCAAAGTGCTGAGATTACGGGCATGAGCCAGCAGCCTATATTAGTATTTTCCATGGTGGCTTGTACATGGTAAATATCAAAATATTTGCTGAATAACTCAAGCTTGGATGCTAATGGAAAAGAATGAAAGGGAAAAAAATGTGTGTACTTTAGGTAAGAAAGGTTAATTGAATGTTAACAGACATACAAAGATTAGGATTTGTCAACATTATTTCCCTAAATATAGGTCAGAAGATTAAGTATTGAAACTTGACCAGAGCTGGTATCTCCTTCAGTGTTTCATCTTAAACAGATATCTTCCTATCTTTTTATAGATGTAAATGTGATTTTGGGTTTTATTTTTGTGAAGTATAAATGTAGAAATTTTTTTTTAGGAAGTCAAAGTGAATTGGGCAACAACCCCCAGCAGTCAAAAGAAAGATACAAGCAGTAAGTATATTTTATGCTCTTTGAGCATTTGTTTTTATTATACCCAGTAGTTTTATTGTAAAGCCTATAAACATCATACATGTTTGCAGTAATGTTTTGATCGTTATCCTAAGATATGATTGAATGTGTTTGTGTTAATAAATTTAAGAACAAATCTAATCTTTGTCATCAGGTAGTACCGTTGTCAGCACACAGCGTTCACAAGGTAATTGTATCTTCTTAAACATAAAATGAAATCTCTTGAAAGGGTATTCACTAACCACCTGAGGTTTTTTTGTTTGATATTTGGGGGAGGGGGGGTGGGAGGAGATATTATTTCTATTTGTCTCTCTAGCAATATTTTTCTCCTTTCTCGGTGTTGACCAAGTATAGCTTGTCTGCTACTTTGGTGCTAGTTCAAGCTTTCTGATCCCTTTGGTGGCAGCTGATGCCTTAGAACTACTTTCACCAACTAAGGGGCAAAATATACCCTCCTTTCTTGAGGTCGCCATCTGGGCTTCATACCCAGATCTTCCAAATGCTTGAGTTGCTCCTCAAATTTTGTTTCCCAAAGAGTATTCCAAAATGTTGTTTAAGGCCTGTCAAATATGGGTAATTTTTCTTTCCAAATATGCTTTGTCAAATTGATGTATGTGTCCATTTTAAAGTGTTGGTCCAACAATTTTGCATTTTTAAAGTGTTTCTTTTTTTGATAATTGTCTTTTTTAAAAACTTCAGATATGGGATGGTTATTTCTCTCCAATGCTTTTTTAATGGTTCTGATATAAAGTGAAGGGATTACTGTTTTCATTCTGTTGCCTTCAGTCTTAGTTCACTTGCACATGGATTCACATAAACTGAATGGTGTAATGTCTGGGCAACCAAAACTGTTGGCTTTTGAGAAAACTGTCAAATACTTTAACATCAAACTGTTGCAATGCAAGGTATTTCTTTGATTGTTCTTCACAAAATATGGTTAAACCAAGTATATATCATGTAGCTAGCTTCAGTAAATTGTGTTAACTGAGGCAAATCTAGTCTACATAATTCACAGTACCACTATTTTGTTTTAATTTGTAAAGCCTTAATATAGTGGTAAACTGAATAAAAGTAAATAATTATTATTAGAATGGTAACTAAGTCATTAAATTTTTTTGCAGAACTGAAACTTGTATATTATTAGTTTATTTTCTTAGACCAGTATAATTGACTGTAAATAGAAATATAAATGTCACTTTACAGTTAGATGTATCACAGTCGTTTCAGAATTTTTCCTATATTGTTACCTTGATTCATTGTTTAAAATTGATAGGATTTGTATAGATATAGGATAGTGTTTTATTTATACTTTATCATAAGTCATAATCATTTTAAGAATACTTTATTGGATAGATTTTAGTACTTTTTAAATTCTAAAGTTCTATTTTTCTTTTCACTTCCCCTTCCTTCCCCTTATAAGATCATTTCCATGTCTTTGTTGGTGATCTCAGTCCAGAAATTACAACTGAAGATATAAAAGCTGCTTTTGCACCATTTGGAAGAATATCGTAAGTAACAGAAGATAAATAAAATCCTTTTAATTAGAAACAATTATATGTAGACATAACTTGAAAATAATTGTGAATTTTGATAAAAGTGATAAAACATTAATTTTATCACTTGAATATAATGTATTACATTGTTTAGAGATCATTCAAGAAGTTAACAGCCAAAGATTGTTTTCCCATTGATGAATAAACCTTTGGTTTTCAATTATCTTAAAATCCTTTTTCAGTTAGCATAGCTCTTAAGAGACAAATATGCCATTGTACATTTTATAGTTTATTATATAGGTATCAAGCTAGCTTCGTGACAGTCTTTAATAAAATTGTGCTGTAACTAGGAATTTAGATGTGTTGGGCACTTCTATGATACCATGCATTTTGTGTTAATATATTTTAACAAAAAGAAGCCTTAACAATTCAACTTAAAAAGCAGTTGTTGAATATTATTTCCTAGATATTTATACCCTTTTAAAAAAACTGCTAACAATAATAGTGCCTTAATAATATTTTATGAAGCACTGCCTTGCCTGCACTTGTTATTAATCACACATTTTAGGCCCTTATGAATAAATACCTTACTTAAGATAGCATTCATCATAGAAGAACTTTAAAATTTTGAAAAGCATGCCATATTAGAGTAAGAATAACAAGTTGTTTATAGTACTTTAGAGTAAATAGTTTAGAAAACTTCTTCAGGATTTCTGGTTGCTTTATTATTTTCCACCTAGAAGAATAGTAAAAAGGCAATGCTAGCTGTGGTTTGGTTTGAATAGACCAACAGCAGAGATGAGATGAGGAGACTGGAAAGTAAATGCCAGTAGTATTGGTGATTAATTTTGGGAGCTTTCATTTCAAGTGTTACACTTCGTTGATTAGGGGATGACAGTGCATGTGACCAAGGGATTACCAACTTTAAAGGTGGTCACAGAATTAGGGCTTGTAAATGGACTTCTTTCAGATGAAATTTTTCTTTGTGAGACCTGATGAGGAAAATAAGTACAGCTTTCATTTCTTGATTGTCCCTCCTAATAATATCTTAGAGTTTCAATAATAATTAGCTTGCTTTTGAATATCTGGACTTAGACAGCCTTAGCCTTTGGCCTCTCAAGAGCTCTAAATCTCTACGCAAAATTTGGTGTTTTCATTTTGGTGTGGAAAATCTTTGTAAATTTTATCCTATTGTCAGAGTAGTCACAGGACCATAAAAGGATAAAGAAGCCTGATCTAGATCTTTGTTGCTGCTTCTCTAGAGAATCTTTTCAGAGAGAAATAAATATGAGTTGAATATTTTTCAAGGTTAACATTTTCTGAAACTTTAACAAGAAAAAATTTTCTGACATTGTGAACAGATTAAGTAGCTATTTTATTAAATGCTTTGATTTTGATTGAGGTAGTTTTTTTGAAAACATGGGAATTTTAGTTTGGAATTAGGCAAAGCTTGTTTAACAGTTGGTGAGTTTAAGTGACCTTCAAATTTTAGCAATTTCATGATTTACAAATCATGGGTTATAATTTTTTCTCTTAAATATATTTCTGTATCATATATTTAGTTTGTAGATTTTCTTATGGTCCCATGATTATTGGTGTATGCTTTTTTTTTTTCTTGGTAAGACCTTTAAGTTTCATGATTTTCAATTGAGATAATGTATAATGTTTGAGTTTTAGGCTATATAAGGAGTTAGCTTTCCTACATTTAAAGGAATCATTTGGCAGTCAGTAGCATATTTTCCTGATTTTTTGTTTTTAAAGGAGATAAGTTGATAACTATATATTGAAGGGTTCTCATGATATTCTCTAAAAAGTGCAAGTATCAGTGCTTGATTTATAGATGTGTAATAAACAGTGGTCTGTAAAAGCATTTAGTATAAAAAATATGGTGCTTTCCCTTATATACAGCCTATAAACTCTTCCTGTTCCTTGAGTTTAAGGGTAGACTAACAAATTACAGTGTAGAAGAGAGTCAGCTACCAAATTAAATGCATGCGTACCATACAGATAATTTATTAAGTATTTTTACTTATTGAGCATTGACTTACATTAGTTTTCCCTTTTCACCACCACGTCTTTGTCATTTTGACCCTGAACACTTAATAAATCACTCAGATTGATCTAAAATATGCTTATGTATACTTTAATAGAAAATTACATTGCATGGCTTTCTGACTTGGGTTTTTGTTATAAAAGTGCCTGTTTTGTTCATGTGTCCTGAGAGAGCAAGCATTGTGACATACCTGACTAACTTAAAAGCAGATTGCCTGTGAAGCACAATTTGAGTCCAATTTTTTGAGGTATGGAGTTTTAGCTATCATGGCTGGGTTTTTACTCAATCTCAAATAATAGGGCTCTGGTTATTTTGCAGAGTGTCTCTGAAGAATGGACAGAATTGCCCTGGCTAACTACAAGCTACGGTTCACAGTGGATAAATGTTGGCGTGCTTTTTTACTTTCTGACTTTTTAAAATTTTGCTTTTATATCTTGTAGTTCCAATCAATTTTATATGAATGCTATTTTAAAATTCAGTGTAAAATCTTTTCTTGTGTAGCTTAAAACGTGTGTGTGTCTAGTATTTTTCTTCAATGATTTAACATTTCTGAAAATGTCAAGTTCTCAAAATTTAGACAAAAAGGGGGGTATAAATTTATCTGAAAAAATGAAATAGTTTAATTAGTTTAGGGAATATACAACTTTTTCATTCTTTTGGTTTCCAGTTTTCTTTTTTTTTTTTTAATGATTAGGTAGAATATAGTGTCAAATAAGTTATAAATTGCATGGTTAAAGAAAGCCATTCATCTAATGTCCTGTGAACTTATAAGTGGTTAAGTAGTTCATGTGAGTAGCTGCTTTCACCATGCTTAATATTTAAAAGTTTAAAAAGTGTTTTGAAGAGAGAGGCAATTTCTGTACAATATAAATAAACATATATACTTAAGTTATTGATTTGCATGTCTATAAAATTAAGCCTCATTTCCTAATACATGATAAATTTTGTAGAATAAAAGGTGAATTTGCATTAAAGGTTCACTTTAATGAAGGCGAAACATGAGAATGAGATGTGTGTGAAATTCTCATTTGATATCCAGAGGACAGTTTGCAAACCTAAACTTCTGATTGTTTCTGATTTCAGAGATGCCCGAGTGGTAAAAGACATGGCAACAGGAAAGTCTAAGGGATATGGCTTTGTCTCCTTTTTCAACAAATGGGTGAGCTCAATCAGAAGTGCATGGACAATGCTTAAAGAGTAAAGAATGGAAGCGCTCAGTTTTAATTATTAATCTTTTTAATCTGTTGTTTATTTACCCTTACTAGAAGATATCTTCTTCTGTTTTGTCTATTTAACATTTATTGGCACCTGAGTACTGGCATGCAGAGTACTGATGTTTTCAGAATGTAGACAGTAAAGTTGTTTAAATTATCAGCCAAAGGTAGATGTTGAAAATCTCATTTATGGATTTAATTCATTATCTCCCTAGTTTATATTCCCATGGTAGCTTAGAAGTAGCTAATAAAATACTGTGAGGAGGCCAGGCGCAGTGGCTCACACCTGTAATCCCAGCACTTTGGGAGACAGAGGTGGGTGGATCACCTGAGGTCAGGACTTTGAGACCAGCCTGGTCAATATGGTAAAACTCTGCCTCTACTAAAAATACAAAAATTATCCGGGTGTGGTAGCAGGCGCCTGTAGTCCCAGCTACTCAGGAAGCTGAGGCTGGAGGATCACTTGAACCCAGGAGGCAGAGGTTGCAGTGAGCTGAGATCATGCCACAGCACAGCCTGGGTGACAGAGTGAGACCCTGTCTCAAAAAATAAGTAAATAAAATAAAATACTGTGATGGGTAGGAACTTTTTAAAAAATTATATATTACCCAGGTACAGTGGTTTATGCCTATAACCTCAGCACTATTGGGAGGCTGAGGAGTTTGAGATAGACCCTGGCAATATAGTGAGACCCTATCTCTACAAAATATATATATATTTTTATTTTACTTTATTTAATTTATTTATTATTATTATTATTTTTTTTTCGGAAATTCCGAAAATTCAGCCGAGCCCAGTGGCTCACGCCTATAATCCCAGCACTTTGGGAGGCCAAGGTGGGTGGATCATTTGAGGTCAGGAGTTCAAGACCAACCTGGACAACATGGCAAAACCCCATCTCTACAAAAAATTAGCCAGGCATGGCGACGCATGCCTGTAGTCCCAGCTACTTGCGGGGCTGAGGCGGGAGGATCACTTAAACCCAGGAGGTCAAAGCTGCAGTGAGTCGTGATGAAGCCACTGCACTCCAGCCTGGGTGATAAAGTGAGACCCTGTCTCAAGAAAAAAAAAAACAGTTGAAAATGGTAAAGTATATTGAGAGGTGAAAACAATACAAGGTCAATCATGTACATGTCCCATCTACCAAAGATTTTTTTTTTTTTTTCCTGTAGGATGAGAAAATAAAAATTAAAGAGAATTTATTTGGTTCTGAAAATTGTACTATTAATCATAGCATAATATTTTAGAAAGGTAGAAAAATACTTTCTATAATGGATTAATAGCCATGATTAATTTGAGTTCCTTAGAGGATTGATTCATAGGTTTTAGGATGTTTTAGTGCAACTTAGGGAAATAAATTGGGGGTTTGGTGGGCTAGGAACTCGTTTTTCACATTTTCAAGATTGTGGACTATAGGATTCTGCTATATAAAAATCACTATTGAATGTGTATGTTGTATGAACTAGAGTCAAATAGCAAAGGATGTCTATTGATACCTGTGTATGACCTCTGGAGTTAGCTAGAGGTGTATACAAATTCTGACAACCATTTTAAAACAGATGTAACTTTGAGTAAATAATATAATCTTCTATAAAATCTTCTATAAATTTCAACTTACGTAAAATTTGTGATATGTGCTTGGCTGTGTTATGCAGTGCTACAGCCCTGATTGCAGTTACCCCCAGCCTCTCATCCTGTGTTCTACGTGCTAGGAAAACCACAATACTGATTGAGCTTAGCTTCTCTGCCTACCCCAAAATAACTGAATGTTGCTGGAAAAAAAACTGAGTTCAAGTGGTTTTGCTCCTAATTTAATGGTCACACACTTTAGATGAGTACAGAGTACTGTCTTGGCAAACATGTTTCTCATCTTTCAACCACCAAATTTACATAAAATTCATCCACCTTCCCATTCTTCCTCCTATTATAGTACAGGAAAGGTCCTTCCTGTCAAAGGCAAAATCACTTATGATTGTGTCCCCACCTCTCTTGCCTTTTCAAGGACTTTGAGCTTATGCTGCCACTGCCTCATTTTTTTTTTTTTTTTAAACAGCAGCTTTATTGAGATATAATTCAAGTATACAGTGTGGTTGGGTGCAGTGGCTCACACCTGTAATCCCAGTACTTTGGGAGACTAAGGCAGGCAGATTACTTGAGCCCAAGAGTTTGAGAGCAGCCTAGGCAAAATGGCAAAACCCCTTCTCTATAAAAAATGAGCCAGACATGGTGGTGCACACCTGTAGTCCCAGTTACTTGAGAAGCATAGGTGGGGGATCACCTGACCCCAGGAAGTTGAGGATCCAGTGAGCTGAGATTGCGCCACTGTCTCAAAAAAAAAAAAAAAATTTTTTTTTTAATTATACAATTCAGTGGTTTCTAGGTAATTCACAGAACTGTGCAACTATCACCAAAATAAATTTTAGAATATTTTTACCACCCCAAAAAGAAGCTACATGACTCATTAGCAGTCACTATCCTTTTCCTTTCATGCCCCTCCTGCCAGCCGTGAACAATTGTCAGTCTACTTTGTGTCTCTAGATTTTCCTGTTCTCAACATTTCCTATAAATGGAATCATAATATGTGCTGTTCTTGTTGTTACTACTATCCTGTGTCATCACTCTATTCCTTCTCTACTGGATCATTCTCGTCAACCAAAAAACACCTAGGATCTCTCTCTCTCTTTTTTTTTTTTTGGACAGAGTCTCACTCTGTCATTCAGGCTGGAGTGCAGTGGTGTGATCATAGCTCACTGCATTTTTGAACTCTTGGGTGCAAGCCATCCTCCTGCCTCAGCCTCTGGAGTAGCTGGGAACACAGGTGTACACCACCATGCCCAGCTAATTTTTTTTTAAAAAAAAAGGCCTGGCTCAATGGCTCACACCTGTAATCCCAGCACTTTGGGAGGCCGAGGTGAGCAACTCATGAGGTCCAGAGTTCAAGACCAGCCTGACCAACACGGTGAAACCCTATCTCTACTAAAAACAGAAAAATTAGCCAGGCATGTTGGCATGTGCCTGTAATCCCAGCTGCTTAGGAGGCTGAGGCAGGAGAATCGCTTGAACCCAAGAGGCAGAGGTTGCAGTGAGCCGAGATTATGCCACAGCACTCCAGCCCAGGCGACAGAGCGAGACTCCATCTCAAAAAAAAAAAAAATTTTTTTTTTTGTAGTAACAGTCTCCCTTTGTCGCCCAGGCTGTCCTCGAACTCCTGGCTTCTACCAGTCCCCCCACCTCGGCCTCCCAAAGTGGTGGGGTTATAGGCATGAGGCACCGTTCCCGGCCATCTAGGATCTCTTAATCAAAACCACTGTTTATCTTCACATCCCTTCCCTACCTATATCCCCATTTCTCAGCTATAATTCTCAAGAGTTGTTTGCATATGCTTCCCTTTTATCTCCCATTCACAACCATCAACATAGATACATCTATGTTTTTTCTCCACTTTTTTGAGTGAGTAGTTTTATTTTTTTCCTGAGGAGCTGTATCAAAGTATCATAAACTGGATGACTTAGAGCAACAAAAATTTATTTTCTCAATGTTTTGGAGGCATGAAATTCACAATTAAGGTGTCAGCATGTCCATGCTCTCTTGAAGGCTCTGTGGAAGAATCCTTTGTTGCTTCTTCCAAGCTTCTGGTGGTTGCTGGTAATCTTTGGCATTCATTGGCTTGTAGCTGTATAACTCCAATCTCTGCCTTCATCTTCACATGACCATCTTCTCTTGTGTATCCATATAATATCTTTTTTTTTTTTTTCTTTTGAGACAGGGCCTCACTCTGTCACCCAGGCTGGAGTGTGGTGGCACAATCACAACTCACTGCAGCCTCAACCTCCCAGGCTTAGGTGATCTTCCCATCTCAACCTCCTAAGTAGCTGGGACTGCAGGTGTGCACCACCATGCCCAGCTGATTTTTCTATTTTTTGTAGAGACAGGATTTCGTCATGTTGTCCAGGCTGGTCTTGAACTCCTGGGCTCAAGTGATCCACCTGCCTCAGCCTCCCAAAGTGCTGGGATTATAGGTGTGAGCCACCGTGCCCAATCTAATCTTTACTTTTTATAAGGACTTGGATTTGGGGCCCACCTTAATCCAATATAACCTCATCTTAATTACTTCTGCAAAGACCCTGTTTCCAAATAAGGCCACATTTCACAGATACCAGGGTGTAGGACTTCATATCATTTTGAGGGACACAATTCAACACATAACGTTAGTTAAGCATCTCATGGAGTTCGGACAGGTTAGTATGATAATTGTTTCTTTTTAAGAATGTACATTTCCTGCCAGGCACAGTGGCTCATGCCTGTAATAACAGAACTTTGGGAGGCCAAGGCAGGAGGACTGCTTGATCCCAGGAGTTAAGAGACCAACCAGCCTGGGCAACATAGCAATACCCTGTCTCCATTAAATTTAAAAAAAAAAAATGCCTGGTAACCTAGTATGTGGACACCGAATCCCCTACCATTGCCTGTTGCAACCAGTAAAGGCCGTTCTTACCATAGTAAAAAAAAAAAAAAGCCAGCTGTGTCGGTGCATGCTTATAGTCCTAGCTACTAGGAGGCTAAGGTGGGAGTATCACTTGAGCCCAAGGAGTTCAAGGCTACAATAAGCTATGGTCATGCCTGGATGACAGAATAAGACCCTGTTTAATTTTTTTTTAAAGAGTTTCCTTTTCGTATCTCAAGAAAGGCCTTGAATTTGCCTGTTCCTTCAGTAGTAGATTAAACTTACCTTTGATGTGTACACACAAAAGTTGTACCCCATTTACTTTTTAGTCTACTCTATCACTCTCATTTTCTACCAATGCTACTGTATTTTCAAGGTCACCTCTTAACCTCTGTTTTCTTGGCTCCCTTGACCATACACGTTTGTGGCTTCTTCCTTCATCACTGGCTACTCCTCCCTAGTCACCTTAGCTAGTGATTATTCCTTTACCCATTTTTCAAGTTTTGCTGTTTTTTGTTTTGTTTTGTTTTGTTTTTTTTGAGACGGAGTCTCACGCTGTTGCCCAGGCTGGAGTGCAGTGGCGCGATCTCGGCTCACTGCAAGCTCCGCCTCTCGGGTTCCCGCCATTCTCCTGCCTCAGCCTCCTGAGTAGCTGGGACTACAGGCGCCCGCCACCGCGCCCGGCTAATTTTTTGTATTTTTAGTAGAGACAGGGTTTCACTGTGGTCTCGATCTCCTGACCTTGTGATCCGCCCGCCTCGGCCTCCCAAAGTGCTGGGATTACAGGCTTGAGCCACCGCGCCCGGCCTCAAGTTTTGCTGTTTTTAAGGGCTCTATCCTAGGCTCTTTCTCTAGTCTGCATGAATTTTGTGTCTTCAGTCTACTTCTCTATGTTCCACACTTACTAACAAATGGTCTTCATTTATATGTCTCACAGGCATCTCAAAGTTTTTTTTTGTTTGTTTGTTTGTTTGTTTGTTTGTTTTTGAGACGGAGTCTCGCTCTGTAGCCCAGGCTGGAGTGCAGTGGCCGGATCTCAGCTCACTGCACCCGAGTAGCTGGGACTACAGGCGCCCGCCACCTCGCCCGGCTAGTTTTTTGTATTTCTTAGTAGAGACGGGGTTTCACCGTGTTATCCAGGATGGTCTCGATCTCCTGACCTCGTGATCCACCCGTCTCGGCCTCCCAAAGTGCTGGGATTACAGGCTTGAGCCACCGTGCCCGGCCTCAAAGTTTTTTCTTTTTTTTTTTTTTTTTTTTTTGAGACGGGGTCTCGCTCTGTCACCCAGGCTGGAGTGCAGTGGCCGGATCTCAGCTCACTGCAAGCTCCGCCTCCCGGGTTCACGCCATTCTCCTGCCTCAGCCTCCCGAGTAGCTGGGACTACAGGCACCCGCCACCTCGCCCGGCTAGTTTTTTGTATTTTTTAGTAGAGATGGGGTTTCACCGTGTTAGCCAGGATGGTCTCGATCTCCTGACCTTGTGATCCGCCCGTCTCGGCCTCCCAAAGTGCTGGGATTACAGGCTTGAGCCACCGCGCCCGGCCTCAAAGTTTTTTCTTAATGGAGCTTTTTGATTCTTCCTCAGACCTGTTCCCCTTTTCTTTACTAGTCTTTCTCCCCATTTCAATAAATGCTGTCTTTCCAATTTCTCTGGAGGAACCTAAGAGTTATCTTCGATTTCTCTCCTTTTGCTTGTGGCATCTCCTCCAGCCCCCATTATTTTGGCCCTGAGTTTAGGTTACATTCACTGTTACTGCAATGCTGCTGGCCACCAACACTTTTTAAAAATCTAGAATATTGCACAAGTTTCATAAAATATCTTTATCCTCTTACTACCCATTACCCGAAGCCATTCTCCTCTTAGCACTAAGAGTGGCCTTCTTAAAACATAGGTCATGATGATTCCTTGCTTAAAATCTTTCAGTTTCATTCTCTGACATTCTGTTTTGCTCACTAGATTCCACTGAAACTAGTCTTTCACATGCTTCTTTCAGATGCATACCAAACTCCTCAAGCCTTAACACACTTTGCAATAGTTTTCTCTCCACTGGGGCTTTCTTCTCCATTGTTTTGACTTGGCTATCTCCTATTGCTCTCAGGCTCAATTTAAATGTCATTTCAGAAAGACCTTTCCTATTTATCCTGTCTGTAGTAGATCCTTGTGCCCATATTCTCGTATCTCAGCCTTTTGTTTCTGTCATAGGTCTTAGCACAATTTGTAATTGCTTTATTTGTTCCCCACAAAAGAATGTAAGAGACCATATATGCTTGTTTACCAGTGTGTCCCTAGCTCTTAACTGTGTGCCTGGAACATAACTGTTCAATATTTATTTGTTGGATGAATGAGAAACCAAATATTGTTAACAAGCTTGTTAGATTGTTTAAAGTAAGATTTTCTTCTATAATAGTCTGAGTTGCATGAACTTTATGATATCTACCTCATTAGGGCTTTTGGACTCAGGACCTTTTCAGATGATTAACGTTCCCACAGTTTAATATTCAAATAAGAGAAGAATAATTTAAAAGCACCATTGGGTTGAGCACGCTGGCTTATGCCTGTAATCCTAGCACTTTGGGAAGCTGAGGTGGACGGATCACTTGAGATCAGAAGTTCGAGACCAGGGCCGGGCGCAGTGGCTCACTCCTATAATCCCAGCACTTTGGGAGGCCAAGGTGGGAGGATCACGAGGTCAGGAGATTGAGACCATCCTGGCTAACACGGTGAAACCCCATCTCTACTAAAAATACAAAAAATTAGCTGGGCATGGTGGCGGGCGCCTGTAGTCCCAGCTACTTGGGAGACTGAGACAGGAGAATGGCATGAACCCGGGAGGCGAAGTTTGCAGTGAGCCGAGATTGTACCACTGCCCTCCAGCCTGGGCCACAGAGCGAGACTTTAAAAAAAAAAAAAGAAGAAGAAGTTCAAGACCAGCCTGGCCAATATGGCAAAACCCCATCTCTACTACAAATACAAAAATTAGCCAGGCATGGTGGCGGATGCCTGTAATCCCAGCTACTCAGGAGGCTGAGGCAGGAGAATCACTTGAACCCAGTTGGCAGAGGTTGCAGTGAGCCAAGATCAGCCTGGGTGAGAGAGTGAGACTCCATCTCAAAAAGTAAATAAAATAAATAATTTAAAAATATGAAAAACACCACTGCATTTTAGGAAAGCTATCATATATTGTGTATTTTGTAAAGCATTTTCACTTAAACATTTGTGGAAAGCACCAAGTTTTCTCTACTGCTAAAAGTTGTTTAACATCAACTAATAGTGACTTCTTTATTGTTTCTAATGTGCGGAACAGGATGCTGAAAACGCCATTCAACAGATGGGTGGCCAGTGGCTTGGTGGAAGACAAATCAGAACTAACTGGGCAACCCGAAAGCCTCCCGCTCCAAAGAGTACATATGAGTGTAGGTGTATTGGAGAAGAAAAGGAAATGTGGAATTTTGGAGAAAAATACACTAGATTTTAAATGTTAGAGCTGTTCCCGGAGACTTGTTGCAGAAATAGATGAGAAGCAAATCAAGACTACTGTTCAAAAATGTACTTAGTTTTCATTTTTGTAATTATAAATGATATTATTTCTAATGTCAAGTCTCCTATTAAGTAGAAAATACTGGGTAATTTTTTAGACATTCGTGGGGGAGGTTTAATCCTGAACTGAAGTATAATATGTATAATATAAGCATTTTGATCAAGGTTAATGTTACCTTTACAGTAGTGTAGTGAATATTGCTTTTCTCTTTCTGTACATTTTATTTAATGAATTAAAGACATAAACCTTTTCTCTCACCAGCAAATACCAAACAGCTATCATATGATGAGGTTGTAAATCAGTCTAGTCCAAGCAACTGTACTGTATACTGTGGAGGTGTTACTTCTGGGCTAACAGGTATGGGAGCCTTCCCTGGGTGGCATTAATTTTTAAAGTGCAAAGCTTAATATTTGTAGGATTTTTATATAACTTAGTGTGATTTTTGTTTTTTTGTCTAACAGAACAACTGATGCGTCAGACTTTTTCACCATTTGGACAAATAATGGAAATTCGAGTCTTTCCAGATAAAGGATATTCGTTTGTTCGGTAGGGATGGTTTTTTAAAAAAAACTTTTTTCTTGGTAATGTAACTGGAAAACCAGAAAATAAATAAAAATAAAAAATAAACTTTTTCCTCTGAAATATTTTTTGGATATTTACCTTGTTTTCTTAAAAATTTACCTTGGTTATAAAGAAGTTGAAATTTTGGCCAGGTGCGGTGGCTCATGCCTGTATTCCCAGCACTTTGGGAGGCCGAGACGGGTGGATCACCGTCATGAGTTTGAGACCAGCCTGGCCAACATAGTGAAACCCCTTCTCTACTAAAAATACAGAAATACAAAAATTAGCCGGGCGTGGTGGCACATGCCTGTAATCACAGCTACTCGGGAGGCTGAGGCAGGAGAATCATTTGAACCCAGGAGGTGGAGGTTGCAGTGAGCCGAGATCACAATCACTGCACTCCAGCATGGGCAACAGAGCCAGACTCCATCTCAAAAAAAAAAAAAAAAAAATTGAAATTTCTCTAGCATCTAGCATATTTGCCTCTGTGATTTTATAGCCCCCTCCCTAACACAAGGCCAGTGAAACACACATTCTCAATTAACACAAGTTTCCCCAGAACTACAAGATCTTTGAAAAAAATAGCAAAGAAAATACACGTTATGCAAACTTTTACCTCAGACTCACCTTGATTTTAAAAAATTGGCTTTATTCATAAATATTTAAAAGAATTTGTATTGGTGATTCTTAATATTGTTTTCAATAGGTTCAATTCCCATGAAAGTGCAGCACATGCAATTGTTTCTGTTAATGGTACTACCATTGAAGGTCATGTTGTGAAATGCTATTGGGGCAAAGAAACTCTTGATATGATAAATCCCGTGCAACAGGTGAGAGGGTTCTTAACTTTGAGAAGTAATTGTTGGGCTAATAATGTTATTTTAAAGTGAAGATTGTTGATAATCCTTGTTAATAAGTTTCTAGCTAAAATGATAGTATATAAGGGCTCTTCCTACATGTATTATAGTTCCAGAATGGTGTTTCATGGATTGCAGTGGTGACATGATGAATGTGACCGCCTCAGTTGACTCATGCTCATACAGTGGATTTTAAAATGCTCCGAGAAACCTAAAAGGGTATTAAATCTTTTTTTAATACTTGGTAGATTTATTCACATACTATTTGGAGAACTCACAAGCATGCTTGACTCAACTGAAACAAAAATAAAGCTGTAAATATAGTTAGGGCCTTGGCATTTTTCTTCCAGATTTTGCTGCCTTTTTTTTTTTTCCAGGCAGCTTTAGTGGTTCAGACTTGATTCCACAAAGATTTCTATGAGGAAACTGTAAATGGAGCACAGAGATGGGAGTAAGCAAATCCTAAACTATATAAGTTTCTTAAGTAAGCTGAATATAGAAATAACTAATCACATCTTCCCTATCTAAAGGAAACAATCATGTGGATAGTATACCAAACACTTAAACATTCTACTATGTTTAACATTTATTACTAGGATATCAACTGATGCCTTCCAAAAACTATGCCATTCAGAGTATCATGTAGAGTTACAGCAGTATAACCTCAGTTTTTTTTGTTTTGTTTTTTGTTTTGTTTTTTAGCCGTCAACTCTTGTTTATCCTGTCATTTTAATTGTAATGATGGCCCTGTGTGTTTTTGCTAAGAATTTGTGGTATCAACATATTAGGATTGTATATTTACAGTTAACTTCAAGTAATACTAAATTTTATTTAATAGCAGAATCAAATTGGATATCCACAACCTTATGGCCAGTGGGGTCAGTGGTATGGAAATGCACAACAAATTGGCCAGTATATGCCTAATGGTTGGCAAGTTCCTGCATATGGAATGTATGGCCAGGCATGGAACCAGCAAGGATTTAAGTAAGCATATCTGATCTCTTCCTTTACTAACCTTTGAAAATGTCTAAAAATATTTTAAGTAGGAAGAAATTTTAAGAATTAGTGGATAATAGGGCCTCTTACATAAAGCGTAACTATAGCCTTCAAAGAACTTAATTGTTTTTTAGTAAGAAAATAAGAGCTTAATAGTTGTTAAGGTTTTCACATGACTAATGGTCACTTAGTCATTCTTATATACACTGACTTTGATGCTAGTTGTTGTATTCATTATGCTTTTTTCTGTGCAAAGGGTTTTTTCATGCATTGTTATATTGCAAGCTTCCTTATACACCCTAAATTACATTATTTTACTTACATTTCTGAAAAACACACTGAAAATAAAAATACTTGGGAGGTTAAAAAGGAATGTAGTGGGCCGGGCGTGGTGGTTCATGCCTGCAATTCCAGCATTTTGGGAGGCTGAAGTAGGCAGATCACTTGAGGCTAGGAGTTTGAGACCAGCCTGGCCAGCATGGTGAAACCCCACTTCTGCTAAAAATACAAAAATTAGCCAGGTGTAGTGGTGCACACTACCAATAGGTTCCAGCTATTTGGGAGGCTGAGGCAGGAGAATCACTTCAACCTGGGAGGTGGAGGTTGCAGTGAGCTGAGACCATGCCACTGCACTCCAGCCTGGGCAACAGAGCAAGACTGTGTCTCCAAAAGAAAAGAATTTTGTGGTGGGAATTTTGTGGTTGGGCACGGTGGCTCATGCCTGTAATCCTAGCACTTTGGAAGGCCAGGGCAGGTGGATTGAGTCCAGGAGTTTAAGATCAGCCTGGGCAACATGGCGAAATCTCGTCTCTACAAAAAGTACAAAAAAAAATTAGCCAGGCATGGTGGTGCGTGCCTATAATCCCAGCTGTTCAGGAGACTGAGGTGGGAGAATCGCTTGAGCCTGGGGAGATATAGGTTGCAGTGAGCTGAGATCATATCACTGTACTCCAGCCTGGGTGACAGAATGAAAACCTGTTTCAAAAAAGAAAAAAAAAGAAAAAATCTTGTAATGTTATGAATTTTTATGAGCTTATATTTGTTAATAATTGTTTTGATTTCTTCTTTGAGTAGTATAATGTTAGCTCTTTTTTCATTGTGGGGAACCTACCTGACTCTTTCAGGTAGTGGCTTCCTCAGCAAATATGTTCAACCAAGATACAGAGATGAGATGGACAGTTTTCTTTTCCGAGAATGGGGTTAAGATTTTCTGTGTTCAGGGGAGATGAGTGTTGATAAGTTCAGGGTATTTTCTTAGCTTTAATTTCTAACAAAAGTAAACTGTCCAAAAAAAACATACAGGGATGCTTGTTTTTAAGAGAAAAAAAACTTTAGTAGAAGCTTTCGTTTTCCCTGGCGTAAGTTATTCTATTTGGGTTTAAGAAAAAGTATGTTTCCCATTTCCCATATTTGTTATTTGTTCTTGCCAATACTTTATTTTAATCAGTGGATTTCCTCTCCCCTCTGCTTCTTTCACATTCTCCACCAGTCAGACACAGTCTTCTGCACCATGGATGGGACCAAATTATGGAGTGCAACCGCCTCAAGGGCAAAATGGCAGCATGTTGCCCAGTCAGCCTTCTGGGTATCGAGTGGCAGGGTATGAAACCCAGTGAAAAAGGACTCCAGAATCTAAAGCCAGTGGCTTGAGGCTACAGGGAGTGTAGTAAAGCCGTTGTTTACTTAAAGATTTATCAAATCAGTCAGTGCAAATGTCAGATACAATGTATTTATTTAAAAGATTCATTTTTAATCATGAAATTACTTATCATCCACATTGTTTTAAAAAGAAACAAGATGCTGGATGTCTGCCAATTTTTGCCTTCATTACCTTTTTTGATAAAGTTTCTCAGATCCTTGTTTCAAACACAAATGCAGGGATTGCTGCCACTTTTTAACTATTAAGAGGCAGAAAATTGCACAATATTGAACTTTTTTCCACTAAAGTAGTGTGCAGTTATAGTTTGCATTCCTGATATGATTTAAAACATGTAATATAAAGATGTTAAAAAAAAAAAAAACTGTGCAGAGTCTAGAAGTTCTCTGTCATCTTCAGCTTGTGCACAATTCTGTTTTAGGTTAAAAAAAAAAAGGCATTGTTTGAGCTGTCCCATCTCCACTGTTATCCCTTTGTGGTTTTTTAATATAAATTATTAGTTTATGTCATTTTTGTATCTACATCTTTTTTCACAAATTTGTCTTGCCTTATTAAAGTTCTGTAAAATATACTTAAATGGAAAAAATGATGTTCATTTAGATTGAAAATTTTTCTCAGATGGATTGATAATTGCATTCATCTTGTGTTTTATATGAGAAGGTGCCTCAAGAATTCCCTGTTGGATTTGTTTAAAAGAATTTTTATCTTCTGTGATAAACTTTGCTGTGTACCAGGAACTATAAAAACAAAAACTTGTTACTAAAGAAAATATCTGAAATGTGATAAGTTCTTATGCCATGTTAATTTCATGTGTCAACTTCAACATTTACATGTATTATTTCATTATGTAAAATGTTTTAGCAATTTAATATTTTGCACAGTTAGCAAACTTTGTATGTCATTTCCTTCAAGGTATCATGCAGAGTTTACATGAAATTTATAAGGTTTTAAGTTGTTTGCATGTGAAAATCAAATACATACTTTGGTAGTCTTTGAATACAAAGTCATCTGCTCTTGTTTTTCAAGAATTTTGAGACACAAAGTTGTATGTAAAGGAATATATTTGCCGTTTTATAGGTAGATTTGCTCAAAAAGAGTGAATCAACTTAACATGTACAAATGATAGCTGTGAAACTGTAGAATATCTATGTGTCAGGCTTGGAGTTCATTGTGACCTCCAAATTTTGCCTGAAGGACCAGCTGGGCAAAGCATTTTTTAAATGTTCAGAGGCCAAAAGATAAACAAACAAAAAAAAAAAACCTTAAAATCCTACCTCTTTAAACAGCCTTCAAATAAGAATCCTCAGTGCAATCATTATTTTGATTCTTTTGGTACCTGTTTTCCTGGAGTTCCCAATTTTATTATTTTGGAGTGGCTCCAAGCATTAAGAGGTTTAATCTTTGATGGCATTGTTCTAGTTTTGAAATTTCTATTGTATTTCAGAGTCTCTTAGAAAACTTGTGTGGGAAGTTTCATTTTGTTTTTGGTGAAGGTCACAAACCTCCTTCTTCCTTGACTCAGAGAGGAAAGGTCCCAGTATATATATTTGAATGGTCAGTGGTTTTCAAGACCTTCAGAGAGCTCCCTGCATTTTACCTAGAAACAGAAAAGGCCTGCAAAATCTTAAGTTTCCTGGCCTGCATTTTCCAGGTAGGGGCAAATGACTCCAAGCTGGTCTCTAAGCCAATACCCTTGTAAACCAGAGTCCAGGAAAGATAGCTCAAGTGTGTAATTCTCTGGAGCTCAATTCTATGCAGTTGTGCTATTTCATTAAGTCACTGTGTGTTTTTAAGTGTTGATACATTAAAAGTCGCTTTATGGAAGATGAGTACATTTTTTAAATACTTGGAAATTTTATTTCCTTATTAACTTCTACAGATCAGGGCATGCAACCAAAAGCAGCTTAAATGAAATATTTAAAAAAATAAAATATCAGGAAGCTATTTTTAGATTTCTTCTGGCTTATGTTTCTATTTTAGGACCCTCATTTTTCTCTTATTAAAAAAAATTATTTCCTGTACATCTCATGGACTGCAGGGTAAATTATTTGGGCATAAATAATTTAAATAGTTTTCTTTCATTTTGACTATCTCCAGTAACAACAATTTTTATTAGCCAGCATATTGGCTTATTGCACAAATCTTAAAATGTACATTGACTACTTTTTGAGAAGAAAGTGGTATCAGTACTCGCGATGAAAAGGTTACTACTGAACAAATTCACATTTCAGGAACACCTATCTATCTTTGGTTTAAATCTTACTCTTAGTTTTTCAGTCTAAAAATCATACTGGTATTAGTATCAGGTAAGGAAATTAAAAGTTTTTTAAATGGTTTCATTCTCTGCAATATGCAAAATTTAGATTTACTTTCTGGTACTGTAAAGAACCTGAAGTGATTCACACTTAATGGGTCATTAATCCAGTATTCTTTACCCTGAATGTTTGGATATTAAAGTTCCTTTATGTTTTCTATAACCTGTGGGATCTTCTTGCAGTGATTATTGTGTGTGAGATTTTTTTTCATTTTGGTCTAGCCATATTGTTATATTCACTCAGGTATTTGTTCATTTTTTTTAAGTCTTATTCCAGAATCAATGGTTTACATTGGGTTACTGTTTAACACCAAACGGAATTGACATTCTGCAGATTTAATTAATTATGAAACCAGGGTCTCATTTTCCTTGCTGATACTTGTTGAAAATGAGATTCACATTCTAGTCTTTATTTTCCTCCTGTTTGTCCTTGTGCTTGCTCATCTTCCTTTTATTTGTGTGTTATAGTTCTATTCCATTTGAGAAGGCAGTTGGTAAGAACTAGAGTCCATGTACAAAGACAGGTTTACTAAGTGCTGTACAGTGGTCCTGAGGTTACAGTTGAATTAGAAAAACAAAATGTACTTATAGGAAATAAGAAAGCAAACCTTTCAAATGAGAGTGATGATTTCTTTTAAAAAAAAAAAACAAAAATCTTTTTTTCTCTCTTAAATAATGTTCTTTATTTCACGAAATCTTTTTTGTTTTTTTTGTTTTTTGTTTTTTTTTTGAGATGGAGTCTCACTTTGTCGCCCAGGCTGGAGTGCAGTGGTGCCATGTTGGCTCACTGCAAGCTCTGCCTCCCAGGTTCACACCGTTCTCCTGCCTCAGCCTCTGGAGTACCTGGGACTACAGGCGTCCACCACCACGCCCGGCTAATTTTTTGCATTTTCAGTAGAGACGGGGTTTCACTGTGTTAGCCAGGATGGTCTCAATCTCCTGACCTCGTGATCCACCCATCTCAGCCTCCCGAAGTGCTGGGATTACAGGCCGGAGCCACTGCGCCCAGCGAAATCATCAATCTTAAGCATGAATAGGGATAAACAACTCCTAGAAGGAACTCAATTCATTCTTCCTGGATTTTCACTGTGTTATTAAATCACAAAAATGATAGTCCCCAATTGTTTCTTTATAGGAGGTTATTATATTTTATTACAGTCACTGCATTGTGACTGTTGTGTTTAGAATTTGAATGTACATCCAAAATGATGAGTTTCAATTTAAGAGCCTTAATAAAATGTGTGTGTCTCAATTGAATAGGTTTTTCTACCTTCATTTGGAGACCTTAATTCGTATGAATTAATTCATATGAATAAGAATATGAATTAAGGTATTAGCCAAACAGGAAAACAACAGGTGTCAATGGTAGCGGGATTTTTTTAACTCTTTTTTTTTTTTTTGAGATGATGTCTCACTCTCGTCCCCTAGGCTGGAGTGCAATGGCGCAATCTCGGCTCACTGCATCCTCCACCTCCTGGGTTCAAGACATTATCTTGCCTCAGCCTCCTGAGTAGCTGGGATTACAGGCGCCTGTCACCATGCCTGGTTAATTTTTGTAATTTTAGCAGAGACGGGGTTTCACCATATTGGCCAGGCTGGTCTCGAACTCCTGACCTCAGGTGATCCACCCGCCTTGACCTCCCAAAGTGCTGGGATTACAGGCGTGAGCCACTGTGCCGAGCTTTTTTTTTTAAAAAAAAAAAAAAAAAAACAGGATTAATTCACTTTATTTTTCTTGTATAAAAACCCCCCTTTTTTTTTTTTTTTTTTTTTTTTTTTTTTGAGACGAAGTATTTCTCTGTTGCCCAGGCTGGAGTGTGGTGGCACAATCTCAGCTCACTGCAGCCTCTGCCTCCTGGGTTCAAGTGATTGTCTTGCCTCAGCCTCCTGAATAGCTAGGACTACAGGTATGTGCCACCTCACCCAGCCGAATTTTTGTATTTTTAGTAGAGATAGGGTTTTGCCATGTTGGATAGGCTGGTCTCAAACTCCTGACCTCAGGTGATTCCCCCTGCCTCAGCCTCCTAAAGTGCTGGGATTACAGGAGTGAGCCACAGCGCCCAGTCACTGGTAGCATTTCTTTTTTTTTTTTTTTTTTTCCTTGGGACAGAGTCTCGCTCTGTCGCCCAGGCTGGAGTGCAGTGGCCGGACCTCAGCTCACTGCAAGCTCCGCCTCCGCCTTCGGGGTTCACGCCATTCTCCTGCCTCAGTCCCCCGAGTAGCTGGGACCACAGGCGCCTGCCACCTCACCCGTCTAGTTTTTTGTAGTTTTTAGTAGAGATGGGGTTTCACCGTGTTAGCCAGGATGGTCTTGATCTTGTGACCTCGTGATCCATGTGATCCGCCCGTCTCGGCCTCCCAAAGTGCTGGGATTACAGGCTTGAGCCACCGCGCCCGGCCAATGGTAGCATTTCTTAAGTGTCTTACAGTTATTTGAAATGTCTGCTCAGTCAAATGGCTGTTTGCAGCACTAGCTTCAGAGATGAGATATTCCCAAGATTGACCAGTAATTAATTACACTGTGGCTCCTAAAGTTGGAGGGTGAAGTTACTGAGAGAGTAAATTCAACTTTAAAAAGGAAAACACAAACTTCTTTACTAGGTGATGGTGTTCAGAAAATAGAGATTAAGCACAATTTTGTATACTGGATAAATGAGATCCTTTGCTATTTATCCTTGTTGAGCTCTAGAATGCCAAAAGCCAGACATGCCCACCAGGCAGGATGTTAGAGGATCCTTCTGTGGTAAAACTAAGTGACTCTTGAGAGACAACAGTTACTGACGTTTAAGAGCACCCACCAAAAACGCCAACTGGCCACCATTCCCTCTACAGCCAGTCAATGGCCTGCCAATGTACACAAATCTTCCAGACAGGTTTTTAGTGCTTCACTTTTACATAGGGATGGGAAAGTACCACTAGAAATTTGAGGAAAACTTTGATTGTGAAAGGTAGCTCCAAACATAAAGCAACTCTCAATCAGAAAATTTCCAGGAACTGGAATATCCCCAGATAAGAGAAGATGCTGTACTCAAGAAATTACGGCCGGGCTCGGTGATTCACGCATGTGATCGCAGCACTTTGGGTGGCTGAGGCGGGCGGATCACCTGAGGTCAGGAGTTCAAGACCAACCTGGCCAACATGGTAAAACCCCATCTCTACTAAAAATACAAAACTAGGTGGGGCACAGTGGCTCACGCCTGTAATCCTAGCACTTTGGGAGGCCAAGGTGGGCGGGTCACCTGAGGTCAGGAGTTTGAGACCAGCCTGGCCAACATGGTGAAATCCCATCTCTACTAAAAATACAAAATTGAGGTGGGCAGATCACGATGTCAGGAGATTGAGACCATCCTGGCTAACACGGTGAAACCCCGTCTCTACTAAAAATGTAAAATATTAGCCAGACATGGTGGCGGGCGCCTGTAGTCCCAGCTACTTGGGAGGCCGAGGCAGGAGAATGGCATGAATCCAGGAGAAGGAGATTGCAGTAAGCCGTGATCCCGCCACTGCACTCCAGCCTGGGCGACAGAGCGAGATTTCGTCTCAAAAAAAAAAAAAGAATTAGCCAAGCATGGTGGCATATGTCTGTAATCCCAGCTACTCAGGAGGCTGAGGCAGGAGAATCACTTGAACCTAGGAGGTGCAGGTTGCAGGGAGCCAAGATCGCACCACTGCATTCCAGCCTAGGCAACAAGAGCGAAACTCCATCTCAAACAAACAAAATACAAAATTTGCTGTGCGTGGTGGCACAAGTCTGTAATTGCAGCTACTCAAGAGGCTGAGGCAGGAGAATCACTTGAACCTAGGAGGCAGTGGTTGCAGTGAGCCAAGACTGTGCCACTGCACTCCAGTCTGGGAGACAGAGTGAGACTATCTCAAAAAACAAACCAACAAACAAAAAGAAATTAGAAGGCAAGACACAGTGCCTCGGTCCTGTAATCCCAACAATTTGGGAGGCCAAGGTGGGAGGATTGCTTGAGCCCAGGTGTTTGAGACCATTCTGGGCAACATAGCAAGACCTCATGTCTACAAAAAATAAAATTAGGGCCTGGGTGCAGTGGCTCACACCTGTAATCCCAGCATTTTGGGAGAGCGAGGTGGGTAGATCACCTGAGGTCAGAAGTTCGAGACTAACCTGGTCAACATGGCAAAACTCCATTTCTACTAAAAATACAAAAATTATCTAGGCATGGTGGCACGTTCCTGTAATCCTAGCTACTCAGAGGCTGAGGCACAAGGATCCCTTTAACTCAGGAGGCTGAGGGTGCCAAGAGCAGAGATCATCCCAGTGCATTCTAACCTGGGCAACAGAGTGAGGCTCTGTCTCAAAAAAAATAAATAAATAAAATAATGGCAGGGCACTGTGGCTCACTCCTGTTATCTCAGCACTTTGGGAGGCTGAGGCGGGTGGATCACCCGCTTGAGGCCAGGAGTCCAAGACCAGCCTGGCCAACATGGGGAAATCCTGTCTCTACTAAAAATACAAAAATTAGCCAGGTGTGGTGGCGTGTGCCTGTAATCGCAGCTATTCAGGAGGCTGAGGCATGAGAATCACTTGAACCCAGGAGGCGGAGGTTGCAGTGAGCTAAGATCGTGCTACTGTGCTCCAGCCTCAAAAAACAAACAAAAAACAATTAGAGCAGGATAGTAGTAAAATATCAGAAAAAGAAATTTAAAATATGAATGCATTCAGTGAGAATATTAAAAGACAAGGAAGAGTTTTAGAACAGAAATTAAAAGTGAAGGGAAAAAATAAAGTTGGCTCAATACAGGAGGTTTAATAAGCAACCAACAGGAATCCCAGGAAAAGAACTGAGAAAATAGAGCGGGTAGAATTTATTTTTTTGAGACAGAGTCTTGCTCTTGCTCTTGCCCAGGCTGGAGTGCAGTGGCGCGATATCGGTTCACTGCACCCTCCGCCTCCTGGGTTCAAGCGATTCTCCTGCCTCAGCCTCCTGAGTAGTTGGGACTACAGGTGCCTGCCACCACGCCCTACTAATTTTTGTATTTTTCATAGAGACTGGTTTTCACCACGTTGGCCAGGCTGGTCTAGAACTCTTGACTTCAGGTGATTTGCCTGCCTTGGCTTCCCAAAGGGCCTGGATTACAAGTGTGAGTCACCATTCCTGGCCTAGAATTTATTTTATTTTATTTTATTTTTATTTA